TCCTGCTTCATCATGTGCTTGGGGCTTCAAGGCTTCATGGGCATCCGGTGTTGGTGGTTTGGGGTGTTGAGGCTTCAGGTGTTCAAGGGGCTCGGGTTTTGTTGGGTGTGTGTCTGCATATGTGTGTGTGTCTCTCTGTGCATGTCTGTCTTTATGGTTTATGTTTGTCTATGTGTGTGTGTGCATGTATTTATGCACATCTACTATCTATACACACACACATACACAAGTGTATTTGTGTACCTCCACGAGTAGAACAGGAGCAAGTGCATGCATTCCCTGCAGGCTACATGCACATGTGGAGGGTTTAGGCTTTAGGCTAGGGTGGCAATCCAGAATTTCGGGTTCATGGGTTGGGTCTTGGGATTTGTGATGTCCTATATTATGTAGATGCAGACTCACACTCACTTTTTCTCGCCTTGCACTGCAGAAGATCTGATGCTCTTATTGAAATTGCATCCTCCAATGCCAACAAAATGGCCATCAGGCTTCACATGCTGTTTCTGTTGCTGATGCCTTCGATGGTGCTGCTAGTGCTGCTGCTGCTCATCACGACATGAATGCCAGGCGGCGGTGGCATGGAGGATGATGATGCCTATGGCACAATCATGTGGTCTTTGACCACTCATGGATGCTGCGGCACCACACCGGATGGGGATCGCATGGTTAAGCCGGCATGCACCAGGCTCTGCACCCATGGAGTCCCGCAATTGCAGCAGGTCTTTATCTCCGCAAGGCGGTATAGATAAAGCCAGCTGTTGTCGCATGCCATGCAGTCGATGCTGCATTGATGAAGTGGAGATGGCATGTATTGTTGGATGCTCCAGGGGATGGCGCCATTTGAATCATTCAATAGGCCACTGGATGGGCCTACTGAACCTGGGATGCACATGTATGTATATGTATTTATATATATATGTATGGACATATGTATATATGTTTATGTCTATATATATAATTATATGTATGTATATATATATATATATATATATATGTATATACAATTTATGTATGTAGGTACATATGTATATACATACATACATACATATACATATACATATACATATACATATACATATACATATACATATACATATACATATACATATACATATACATATATACATATATACATATATATATATATATGTATGTATATATGTATATGTATATATATACATATATATATATATGTATTGATTTATTTATTTATACAATATGGGTTTAAAGTGTTTTTTTAATGTTTTCTATGGTTTCATAAAAAGCGCCAAAACACTCCCATGGCCATGATTGGCATGATCTTCTCCATGAGCCTGATGGGGCTCGGTTGTCATGCCCTCCCCATCGGCCGGGGCATGGTTCTCGGATGCCGGGGCCTGGTTGTCGGATGGCGGGGCATGGTTGTCCGATGGCGGGGCATGCTCCTCCGTCGTGGGGTTCGGCTCCATGGTCCCCTGTCAGGGGTTTATATATATATATATATATATATATATAACCATATATACATTAATATGTTGATATATATATATATACACATAAATATAAGTTTATGTATATATGCATGTATATTCATGTAAAAAATATATAAATATATATATATATATACACTATATATATATATATATATATATACACACACTAAAAATATACATACATATATATATATATATATATATATATATGTATACCTGTATTTCTATATATGTTTAGGGTTTCTGCTTTAGGGTTTCTATATAGGGTTTATAGGGTTTAAAGCTTTAGGGTTTATGGGGTTTTTAAAACTAATATGAAAAAGCCTCGGTCACGTCCGTCATGGTCCAATCCTCCTCCATGGCCGCGATGGATCGTGTCTCCTGCAGGGCAAGTGTTTCGTTATTTGAATGTTTGCTTTTATGTTTTGAGCCTTCTCCGGCCTCAATGATGGCCGACATGTTGTCCATGATGCAGACAAGATGAGGATGGAAGGCGGGATGCTGCAGCAAAAGGCTTGATGGCCAAAAGGGCTGCCCATGCAGAACATAGGTGCACATGACTGTCCTGCTCCTATACTGCGACAGATGGCCACCAGGCACACCAACAAAACATGTTTTCTGTATAGGGGCTTGGCTTCTCTTTATAGGGGATGGCCACAAGGCTTTCGGTTGTCTTGTGGATGTGTTGGGTGCTCTCGGCCAAATGGCTATGTATATGGGATGGCCAGAAGGCTTTAAGGTTTTCTTGTCGATGTGTTCGGGGCTTCCGGCCAAATGGCTTCTATATATATGGGATAGCCAGAAGGCTTTCGGAATTGTTGTGGATGTGTTGGGGGCTTTCGGCCAAATGGCTTCTTTATATGGGATGGCCACAAGGCTTCCGAGTACTACATGTGTGTGTGTATATATATATATATGCATGCACAAAATGCTGTGCCTAAAAGGAATCTATAACTCCACTTGCATGAGGACACATGTACTGACTAATATGTGTGTGTAGCTATGTATATATCTATATATGTATATACATAATAATAATAGATATATATATATATATATATATATGTCTATATATATATATATATACATATCCACACATAACAACTTTAACCCAATATTGCAATCCCTTAAATATACATATAGCAGAGAAACCACCCACCCTATACCAACCCCCGAAACCCCCACACCCCCCCAACCCCTTGAATAAAACCCTATAAAGCACCGATGCTGCCTGTTTTTCACACCCGCCACTGCCATGACTAGTACACTCCCATCTCGCGAATGACCATGCCGATGAATGCCCTCATCTGTCTGGCACTGATGATGCTGGGGGAATTTCCATGGTCTGCGACCTGTGGATGTACAGCCATCAGCTGCATGCGAAGCCATGTCCTGAATTTTGGACGGCTCATTTCGCCCATGGTCTCATGGCAATGGATGATGATTGTCCTGGTTCGATGTCTGCCCGAATTGTTTTGGGCTCGCCATGACAAAGGTAATGTTGGCACCACCACGACCCCCCGCATGGGTGCCGATGCTGCCCGGCCCAATGCTGATGCCGATGATGCTTCGCCCGATGGTAATGCCGATGAGGCTTCGCCCGATGGTCCAGCTGCCGATGATGCTTCGCCCGATGGGGGTGGCAAACCCGGTGGGGGTTGCAGACCTGGTGTCATGGTGTTCCGTGGAGGCTGCAAATGAGGGCTTCGCTCGATGTTGGCGAGCCACATTGGGATCATGTTGCCACAGTCGGCTGGATGTGCTATGGGATGGGATGCCTGTACTTGTAATGGCAGCTGCATGCACTCTAGATACAGCAACATGTATGTACAACACAACCCTCATGATAAGTGGGCTCTGCTATATGTGCATGCAACAGCCACCAAAAGGCCATGTGCATGGATGAGGTGAGGATCTATAGTTGGTTTCTGAAAATGCAAATGGGTATGTGAGGTTGGTGATATAGAAGCCACATGATAACTATCCCTTTAATTCCATGCAATACATATGCATATTTGGGTACTCATGCACTGAAACTGTATTTCACATGCTGCTTCTTCCCACCAAGCGACCTTCTTTTTCACCGAAAGCACATGGCACAAATGCTGTTCTATACACATCACATGCTTCTATTGAGCATGGCTATGAGAGCTCTGATGTCATCGTTGCCCGGAATGTTGCCGATGTCGGGATGGACCGCTATGAACTGCTTGTCCAACCAATGCCGCCACATGCCTTCAATCGCATCCAATGATTGCATGCGGCCGTACATGGATCCGATGTTCTCTTTGGTCTGCAATGCGTGGACCATGAAGCTACGGAGCCGTTCGTTTCCCTCATGCCACCATGGCAACCATGCCACCGGCATGTGTTCCGGAGGCAATGTGCTCTGATGGCGGTGGATGGCTGCTCGATGATGCTGGCGGCATGGCTGCCGATGGCGGCGGATGGCTGCTCGAAGATGGTGGCGGCATGGTTGGCGGTGTCGGCACCGATGTGTCGGATGATGCCTGCCCATGCGGCACCAGGGCTTGCCGTCTGTCGCAGCTTTTCTTATGCCCGAATGGACACAAGCTGCAACAATGCCTGTGGGCAACACTGCACCGGCGATGGCAACCGTTGCTCACACATGGATGGTGCATGGCTTCGGGATGGGATCGATGGCTATATAGCTAATGGCTTGACTTGCAATGGCCACTCGCAAAACTCAGCTGAAGATGTGCATTCCCCTGCAACATGTAGAACATGTAACTGTCAGTCAGAACTGCATGCATGGAACCAGGAACGGCCACAACACGGCCATGTGCATGGGATAGCATGGAACAGCCACAATGGCGAACAGCCATTTAATGGCCATGTGCATGGAACAGCCATCATGGCCATGTGCATGTATAGAACAGCCATAAATTGGCAATGTGCAGAGAAACTGCCATAATATGGCCATAGCCATGTATTTGGCTTTTCAAGAAGATAACATGGCCACTACATGGCATCCTGCATGACTGCCATATCTATGGCCAGCAGCATGCAACAGCCACAATGTGGCAATTTAGAAACATACATTTATTAACTCATACATACAATATATGTTCTATATACTGAATGTTCTTCGATTCTGTCTTGACTTCGAGCCCTTTTATTCGCCGACCCGCCCCCGCCCCTGGATGCACATGGTCTATTTCTATCTATACACACCATATTTAGAAACATATTTACAAGCCTATCCCGAAAATGCACTAGAGCCTAAAAAAATCCTTAAGCCTTCACCCGAAGCCCACGAACCCCAAAACACTGACCCTTGAAGTAACCTATAAAGCACCCCTCTTACCCATATATAGATAATCCGCACACCCCATAAACCCCCCATAAGCCCTTACCCGAAAATCTAGACCCGAAGACTCTAAACCCTGGAATAACACAGCCAAAAAAAAATTGAAACAGAAACCGCCACAAAAAAAAAGAAGTTTCTTTTATAATTTTTGCATTCTCTGCATGAAATCGATGGATGCAAATGCATCATGGCATGAATCAATTGGCCTTGGCCTTTGCCTTGGCCTTCTTCTTGGGCGGCTCCTGCATGGTCTCCTCCATGGGTGGGTGGAGCAACACTTCATGCTGCTGGATGGGCTCCTCGTTGTAGAGCATGGGCGCCGTGACCCCATCCTGCACGATGGTGGAAAATGACATGTTCGGCTGGGCATCCGATGCACATGCTCTCACCCAAAAGTATGGCACCAACGGATGCTTCTCATCCTCGAACAATGTGTTCTGCTTCGGTGGGGAAACAACCCAATGAGACCCGAATGCCTCCAAGGCTGTGCCCTTTGGAGCTCCTTCTGCTTTATGCTTGGAAATGTTGCCCATGGGTGTCAGCTTGATGCCTGCTTTCTTCTTGCATGTGACCATGGTCATCAAGCTGGGGGGGAACTGCCCGAATGCAAGGGAACTGGTCGACGAATGCTTCTTGTGCACGGCATGCAATGCCACTGTCACCATGGCCCGCTGATGTTCCTCAACAAAGGCGGGATGAACATTGGGCATGCACGTCGTCACCATGGTAACATCACAAAGCTTCGGCATGGGTGTTTTAGTGCTCCTCCACTTCTTCAATGACTCCAGTGGGACACTGATGTCGATGCTGTCGCCGAAGAATGGGGTGTGCCACATGCATGCCCCATCGTCACTGACACTCTGGAGGATGAAAACCATGGAGCCATGTTCTTTGCTGTTCGTGTACCTCAAAGCACAACCATGAACAGCAACACAAATGTATAACAAATGAAAGCAATCAAAACCCATCGAGTGGCCTGCCGCCCATGGTCATGTGGGCATTCTGCAGCAATGCCACAACATGCGGCTTCGCCGACAGAACGTCCACCATGGGCTTCTCATCGCTCTTCGATGCCTCTGCACCCGATGCAGGGGAATCCTTGTAGAGCTCTGTCGAGAATGCCTCGACAATGGCCTCCAAAGATGCAAACTCCTTGCACTCCCTGCTGCCAGTCTTCGCCTTGTTGCATAAATGCAAGATGGTCCTTATGCACAGGCGGCCAAAGCAATTGTCCACGTGATGGCCGTCAATGTGCTTGCCTTGGCCTGCATGGATGCTTTGATGGATGCCCCATGCATCCTGGAGCATTTGCTCCGCTTTGGTTGTCATGGGCAGGCATGCTGCCTGCCTCAATCGCTCAATGTCTGAGCGAAGGAGGTTCCGAGCAAAACCATCCCTCTCATGGTTCTTCGGGCATGCCAACAAGGTCAACCAGATGGCGGCTCTGGTCATTGGATACATGTTCGTGGATGACTTGAAGTCCATGGTTGCAATCTGTGTCATCATGTCCTCGCCCAGGAGCATGCTGGAGGAATGCACTTTGCTGAAGTTCGACAAGAAATGCAAAATGGGGAATGACCCCGCATGCCCACTGAACTTCATGACATATGTGCCGATGGCATTAATGATTGTCCGGCACATCTGTGAAGAATGCTCCGCATGCTTCACAGCCTGTGCCAATGTCATTCCCTTGGCAAAGCATGTGGCCAAGAGCATTGCCACCTCCAACTCGGAGACGTTCTTCTGGATGCTGTTCGCAGAGTTCAATGATGATTGGAGAAATGATGGCAAAATGGGTATGGCATCCTCCACAGCGCTGGAAATGGTCACCCATGTCCAGCCATCGGAGATGGCTCGCCAGATAGCATCCGATTTCGGATGGATGCTTGACTCCGCCGATGGCCCGGTCACACCGTTTTCGATGCAGCGAAGATATGCAACTGTATGGCTGCCCCCGATGGTCAAGTAGCCTGCAAGAAAAGAAAAGATAAAGTTGCAAATATGATTAACTCTACATCTATAAAGGATTATATATTATAGATTACCCTTTCATGAGGTTTGGTGGATATAGGCCCTACCTTCTGAACCATTGATGGGCGCCAAATGCCCCATGGCATTGTCTATCAATGCCTTGTTCTTCGCCAGCTGCATGGCTCTCTTGTCTGGCTCTGTGCTCATGGTGAATGCAATGGTGGTGCCTTCGACCAGCTTGATGTTGAAACCAACCATGCTCATGGCCAACCCCTTCGACCAGACGTCATGGTAACTGAGCATGGACTGGGATCGATTGTCCGGATGGATGAGCAGATGCCGGGGCAGCAGTCGCTGCTTCGATGCAAGCCCCGCATTCTCCAAGCATGCCAAAATGGCTTCGGTCTTGCTGTTTAATGGCATCTCCCCGTCCATGATCGTCTGTACTTCGAAGACAATGCTTTCCGGCACCGCCATGTTGGCAATGGATGGGCTTCCCGTTGTATGGCCACAAGGCAAAATTCAATGCTGCATATGCAAGGGATACAACATCGCGGGGATCTAGGTGCATGCGAAACTAGCCTTTGCATGTCATGTTGCACATGAAATTATGGGCATGCATTGGCACGGTCTGCACTTTTTTCCTCAGAGGCCGGCATGAAGTCCATGTCATGGAAACTATGCGATCACTTCCTGACCTTCTTCACGTACTTCCTCTTGGACTGCTGCATGGCTTCGATGGCATCCTCCCGAATGTAGTCCACGATGGCGCCGATCTGGGCAGCATCCAAGCGAATGCAAAGGTCCTGTGCGGATGGTCGGCGACCATGGACGAGGCATGTGACCGCCACTTCGCCCACATTGATGTTCACGGTGGGTGGCAGAATCTTCATGCTTTTCTTCTTCTTCGATGGGGGCTCATCGCTGGATGGAAAGAGATCGTCCTTTTGCTCCGATGCTTCATCCGACTGCATGGCTTCGTTTCGCTTCTGAATGATTTCCTGCAACTTTGTGCATGCTGATATGGATGCATTCTTCGGCATGTTGCTACCACAAACGAGCTGGCAGATCGCATGGTTCGTGGGCCTCAGCTGGATGTACTGATGCTCCTCATGCTGAATGATCAGCTCGGTGGGCACGATGATGGCTTTCTCCTCCTTGTATTGGAGTGTCACCATGTGAGAGATGGTGACCATGGCTCACAATGGTGAAATGGCCGACTGATCAAGAAATGCGAGACGGACGGCCACACTGGCGAAGCTAGAGCCATGCATGCGAATCCGGATATGTTCTTGGTTTTCGTTACATGTCATGTAGATGCACGGCAAAAAAGATTTCCGATTTATGTCAAGCATGTATGTAGCAAGAAAAAACACACACACACACAAATTTGGCTCTCGCATCGTCTCCTGGCCACAGAAACAAATATGCACCAGTAATTAAGAAATTTAAATATAGACACCTTAACTTTTCCATAATTAATCTCCCCTGCACTGAAAAAAACATAAGGGACCCAGATGCTTGCTTGCCATGCCCTGTATTTTTTTATGTTTAGGAAACAACAAAAAATGTCGTATACATAGCATAACTTTTTACCTAACTTTCATAACTTTTTTTGTGGAAGTTAACATGATTATGTTGATTACACAAAAAACTAATCATATTACCAAGATATGTTAAAACATATAACAGATATATATGCATAGCACAGACTTAATACCCAGTTAATACATACTTAACACAGACTTATATGATGTTGCTAAGCCATTATATTTTCGCTTAAGTATCACAAACACTTGTAAGAAACCGGGCATTCCAAGTACTTTTCCATGGAGCCAATAATGTGCGAGCTCCCGATTGCGCGGCTGCGACCGCCGTTACCGGTCTGCAGCACTTCTAATCAGAATGCTTCAGGCTCTGCTTAGCCCTTGCCCTTGCTACACCTGCCTAGGTGGGAAGCTGGGCGGTGTTAAGGAGGCTCTGGTCTGTCTCAACTTTGCCCTTGCGATACCCACTCCTGGGAAGCTGGGCCCATGTGTACGCCGCACAGATGACAACCTGACCGATACGGCTTGCCTCTGGTGCACGTAAGGTGCGAGGCTTTCATCACGGAAAGTTGAGCGTGGGCAATTTTGCAATGATCTGAGCCCTGTCATTTCCTGGGGAGCACTCTTTAATCGCTACTGTCATCCATTGGCCTTGCGATATCCACACTGGGAAGCTGGGCCTGGCTTGACAGCGGAGATATGACCCTTGCAGACTGCGGTACTCGGTTTCATTGCATTATAGTGCGCCGCCCTTGCGAGACCCCACATGTTGGGAAGCTGGGCTGGCCGATGTGCAGTTCTTTCTTGACCCTTGCGATGCCCACCATTGGGAAGCTGGGTCTGGTATGACTGATGCGCTAAGAATGGGCTGGTTTGCCTCTGCGCGGTCCCTCTGTCCCATTGTGACCGCACTGGGTCGCCCTTGCGAGACCCACATTGCGAGATTCACGCTACTGTGAAGCTGGGCCACTCTTCCGCCACGCATCGGCCATGAAGCGTGCTGGTTGATGGATGCACGTACTTTTCCATGGAGCCAATGTGCGAGCTCCCGCTTGCGCGGCTGCGACCGCCGCTACCGGTCTGCAGCACTTATATGTGTATGCCGCACAGATGACAACCTGACCGATACGGCTTGCCTCTGGTGCACGTACGGTGCGAGGCTTTCATCACGGAAAGTTGAGCGTGGGCAATTTTACAATGATCTGAGCCCCGTGTTATCCCGGGGAGCACTCTTTAAGCGCTACTGTCATTCATTGGCCTTGCGATACCCACACTGGGAAGCTGGGCCTGGCTTGACAGCGGAGTCATGACGCTAGCATGCTGCGGTACTCGGTTTCATTGCGTTGTAGTGCGCCGCCCTTGCGAGACCCCATATGTTGGGAAGCTGGGCTGGACCGAAGTGCAGTTCTTTCTTGACCTTTGCGATGCCCACCTTGGGAAGCTGGGTCTGGTACGACTGATGCGCTAAGAATTGGCTGGCTTGCCTCTGCGCGGTCCCTCTGTCCCATTGTGACCGCACTGGGTCGCCCTTGCGAGACCCACATTGCGAGACTCACGCTACTGTGACGCTGGGCCGCTCTTCCGCCACGCGTCGGCTATGAGGCGTGCTGGTTGATGGATGCATGTTTCAAGCTGCTCTTTCGGGAAAAGGACAACTGAGAGAAGCCACCCCTGAAAGGCCGAACGATCCCTGCTGGCTAAGTCTGCAAGTCGCGGCCTGTTTCACTCGTCAGGATTCTTCTGTACAGCTTTCTTTTGACTTCTTATTGTTCTTGTAGTTCTTACTGGGACCGAGTGCAGCAACTGCTGTCTGTGAGGCCCGCCCACGCCAAAAAACCGGGGAGCGAACCCACTGAAGTGTCATGCCGATCAAATTTTTGCTCCGTGGTCTCAGCGTCCACCTTCATGCGCCAAGAAAAACACCGAGTTCGAACATTTCCCGAACCCAGGGTTCGAACGCAGAGTTTCTGAACCCCGGCTTTGCACATAGAGTTCCCGAATCCAGATTTTGAACATAGGGTTCAAACCTCAGGTTGAATCCAGGGTTCGAACTCTCTGCGGGACGGGGAAGAAGCTCCCGAACCCGGGGTTCGAACATGGAGTTCTCCAAACGGTTCGAACATGGAGTTCCCGAACTCCGGGTTCGAACATGGAGTTTCCGAAACCAGGGTTTGAACATGGAGTTTCCGAAACCAGGGTTTGAACATTGAGTTCAAACTCCAGGTTGAACCTGGATTCGAGAAGTTTGAACCCAGGGTTCAACCCTGAGTTCCGGAGTGAAATGTTCTCCTTCTCTCCCCGTTCGAACTGGGTTCCGGAACACTTCAAATGTCAAGTGGTTCCAAATGATTCTGCCAAAAAATGAACTGCAAGTGCATGCATTTGATGCAGTCTTAATGGGCCCAAAGTCAAAGTTCCGGGAGATTTTGACCTCAGAGGCAAGGCTTTTAAGGTGATGTTGAGAGTCTCGGCCCAAAGTCAAGAGCAGCAGAGATTCCGGGAGACTTGACCTTGGAGCCAAGGCTTTTAAGGCGATGTTGAGATTTTAGGCCCAAAGTCTAGGCCCAAAGTCAAAGTAGCAGACGGGAGCCCTACACATTGCCAATGGAACATGCTGCTTTGTGGATGCTCGTATAAAACCGCTCCACCCTGGCTAACAAGACACCTGAGAGAGGCTACGCTCTGAAAGGCCGAACGATCCCTGCTGGCTAAGTCTGCAAGTCGCGGCACGTTTCTCTTGTAGCTCTTTATTGTTTTCTTGTCGTTCTTGTAGTTCTTACTGGGACCGAGCAGCAACTGCTGTCTTTGAGGCCCGCCCACGCCAAAAAAAACAAAGTAGCAGACGGGAGACTTGACCTGAGAGGAGAGGCCAAGGTTTGAGGCAGTGCTGGATGACTTGACCTGAGAGGCCAAGGTTTTGAGGCGGTGTTGAGTGTTTGAACCGAAAAATCAAAGTCGCAAACGTGGTTCTGGGAGACGTGACCTTGGACCTTGATTAATTGCTGGCAGTTGAAGGCACAAACAGGAGGCTTGCCTTCCAGGTCAACAGACATGGCTTGGAGAGTCTGGCCAAGAAGTCCGTGCACCTCCAGACGCCACGGTGCGTCAGGAGGGCCAAGGCAAACCAGCAGATGATTTTGGTCCATGGCCAAATGCATGCGCGGCTTGGCATCCAAGTCCGGGTGTGCGCCACTCCAGGCACCACGGCTTCAGAAAGGTGCGCCTGTGGGGCCGGCAGAGCGGTTTTGTTGCCAGCCAAACAAGGGGCGTGGCATCTGGAGCGGCGCGGGCTGACACCGCGCCCTCGGCGGCGCGGCGTTCTAAGTCGTTAAGTTTACCGCGCGCGACGCCGCGCCCGGCTCGTTTCACCGTGGTTTACAGGGACCGAGTGCTGCTGTCGTTGTTGACGAGGCCTGCTAACGCCAAAAAAAGTGGCGCGATCTGTCGCATACGTTCTGGGTTGGAAAGGTCATACGGATGTCCGCCCACTCAACTGCTCTTTTCTCTCTTGCCCATCGCCACTCGTCTTGGACTGTGCACTTTGATGTGCACGCTTCGAGAAAAAAACAAGACACGAGGGTCGTCCGTTGACCGACGGAACTAGTACGGCGGCCGGAGCCTTGGTTGTTGGGCTCCACTCGTTGTCTTGGGTGGCTTTGGATGCCGATCCACTGTCCTTTGCTGAGTCGCTGAGCGTGGCTCCTTTTGATTCGCTGAACAAGTTATGCTAACGAAGTCCGCACGCTGCAGTTGATACGTAGCCACGTTCGCTTTTTGCCTCGTTCCACCGCTGTTTTCTCGTGTGTTTGTGTTTGTTCAACCGCAGTTTACGGGACTGGGAGCGAGTGCTGCAGCCGCAGCCAACGAGGCCCGCAGACGCCAAGAAAAGCAAAGCCCATGGCCCCAACTCGGTTCCTGCTTGACCCGTCAGTGGCCACGTAGCTTGGCGGCGGCGTGCGGCACCACGGCCTCGCAAAGGTCCTTCTGGAAGCCCGCCTCGTCGAGAACTCCGGGAGGTGGGTAGTCGCCCCGTTGGGCGTGCAAAGAGCCGCTCGGCCGCTCGAGAGCCAGGTCCGTTCGTATCGGAGCGAAGTGTGCACGGTTCCAGACCAAGTACGGTCGAGATGGCAGGTAGGCGCCACAAGCACAAAAGTTGCTAGCCTGCTCGGTGGCAAATTCACCGCCGGCATTGTAGTGCCAGTTGCTTGCTCCAGCTGCCAGCAAGCACGGCGGTTGCAGCCTGCCGCCACAATCTATCGGCACGGTCAAAGCAGAGCCTGCTTTAGTGGAGCTTCAGCCAGTAGCCAACTCCACGAAAAGACTACATCAGTGATTTGTTTGCTTCGGCCGTACCGCTGTGTGTGAGTGTTTTGGGTGCACTCTGCGGGCGATCGTTGTCAGTGCTAGGTTGCCATTGGCTTCTGCCGACACAGGCCATGGACTTTTGGACTTTGGTGTGCACGAGCAGCTAAAACTTGATACGAAGGCAGTCCGTTGTTCGCTGGGACTATAACGGCTCCCGGAGCTTTGCACTGGGCTCCGCTCGTTGTCTTGAAAGGCTTTGGGCGAGACTAAGTCCGCACGCCGCGGCCGCAACTAGTGCCGTAACCTCCTTCTCGAGATAGGCCTCTCGTTTTGCACCGAGGCCGGCAGACGCCAAAGAAAACATTGGTGCCAAGCGTCTTTGCGGTCTAACGCGTTGGAGCGCATGAGTGACACAGTGGATGCTTTCTCTGGCTCATATTGGCAGCATCTTTCTGGTCTCCCGTGTCGTTGGGTAGCTTCCAGGTTTTGTGCCGCCGGAATGGAGTTGTTGGGCAGTGCTCGACCTCCGACACAAGCCACCTTTTCTTTTGCTTGAACCATTGCGCCTCACGGCGAAGCTACGATGCGGCCATTGCGCTCTCCAACGTTTTCGGAGAACAAGACCATCTAAGGGGGGCATGTTTATGAGGCCGCTACGCATTTTAACCGTAGGCTGGACGACTCCTGCCGGCAAAGTCTGTACATCGCAGCCTGGTTCACTCTTTGTTGGGTATTCTTCGTTAAGCTCAGTTGCTTGCTAGGACCGAGTGCGGCTAATGCCGTCGACGAGGCTTGCCCACGCCAAAAAAAAGTAGTTTGACATTGGTGGCGTGACATACAGCCAGGCCGCACATTTCGACTGTGGGTGGTTTGTGGCCGCAAGAGAGGTGGCATGTGTTGACAGGGCGCTCGGACTGCCTACGGGCCTAGCTGCAGGCGTTGCGCACATGTTGCCATGCCCGCCGTTGTGCAAGTGCCGCCCGCGCCCTGAGGGCTGGCATTATAAGCGTGGACGTCGAACTTCGGTGTGCGCGACAATACAGGAACGGAACGAAGGTTGTGGGGCTGCTCGTTGTCCGCGATCGACGGCCGGGGACCCTTGTCTTGGGGAGCTCACCACTCCTTCAGCTAGCTGTAAAGCGACGGCCCTTTGCTACTCCTGCTTGTCGCTGAGGGCATTTTGTACAGGTTACTAATCTGGTTTGCGAACCAGCGATTTGTTTTTTCGGTTTCGCTCTCTTGTTTCACCTTGTAGTTTGCTTGTTTGTTATGTTTGCTTTAGGGAGCGAGCGTTGCGGAGCAGTCATTGAGGCCCGTCACCGCCAAAAAAACTGTTCCATCGGTGGTCGGAGGCCCACAAGAGAACGGGGCCAGCACTTGACGAGGAAGTCCACCGAAGTGGGGCTGATTTTGTGCATATGTCGCTGCTCCACTTTATCAGCGCCCCTGGGACTCTCTGAATGTATGAGGGCCAAAAGACCCCAGTAAGCTCAAGCTGTGGCCGCAGTCCAAGGCGCAGCACACTGCCTTCCTGAGGGGGATAGCGTCCACGAGCCTGATAGGAGAACCAGCCCGTGGCGTGGGGGCGGTCAGGCGGCGATGACGCCTCCAACGTGAACACATAGGCTCCAAAGCTGAGCTTAAATTGCAGTGTAAGGAGGATGTTGACTCCCGTAACGCGGCGTACATTGTCCTGACGCCGCAAGACGATCCCCAAGAGGGCCCCGGTATCGCTGCCCGACGGTGCTTGGAAATGGGAGCTATTCGGGACGGAGTGGAGGTTTTGCTTGATGTGCCCTGCCCCAGGCGTGTGCACACCCCTTACTCCGAGGAAGGGCATGGGCCAATTTCTGCACGGTAGGGGAGCGAGGTGGAGGCTGGTGTGTTGCCCCGGTGCCGATAGTCTAGGGGGCCTCACGGGTAACGGTTTCCACGACACAACCCGACGGGCCGTAGCATGTGCAGTACATGAAACTTGCCATTGTAAGGAGGCCTCATCCACCTGCGCGCGGCCCGCCCCTGTGCAGAAGACCTCCATAACCTGCGCTTCCTCAACCCCCGGTACACCAGGATCTGTGCCCGCGTGGGCAAAGGTAAACGGTGTCGTGTGCTGGACTCAATGCCGCAAACTCCGAAAGCCCATGCAGACGTCCTGATTCAAGATGCAGCTCTGGTGCTTGGTCTTTGATGTTGCCGCATGTAGCTGGCAACACATCGGGTAGCAACGCTAGTCATGTTTTGAATGTGACATGAAGCTAGACGTCCATAGAAATGCATAGCAAGTGTCATTTCTGTAGATTTTACCCTGCCTCCATTGCTATTCCTATGGTCCTTAGCTATGTCTTTACGCGACCGCACTTGGCCCAAGTCCCCCGTGGAAAAAGGTCACAAGGGTTGACTGACCGGTAACTAGACGTGCCAAGCTGGTAGCCTGGGAAACTTCAGGTTATCAGCCGTAGTTAGCTCCGTAATGGACATCGTGCCGTTTGTAACGGCCGCGGGCAACAACGATGACGGTGGTATTGGTGGTAGAACGGAGCAGGAAGCGAACCAGTACTTCTTGCATTTGTTGCAGGAGAATACTCAGGTGAACTTGTTCCTGAATGACCCCCGCATTCAAAGTGCCTTGGAGCTTCGCGCGGAACAACGACATCGATTTGCATTGGACAACGTGTACGCCGAAGCCAATGCATACATTGCACACCTAGAGGCAACAGCGGATGCGAACCATCGTCAACAGCTAGCATTTGTGAGCCAATCCACACACCTGTTGGTGGGACAGCTACACAACGAAGTACGAGTGCTAGAGACAATCGCCCGAGCAGAACGACAATCAGCCAACGAGCTGCAGGCACAGCTGGCACGCGCACAAAGGGAAAGTCATGATGAAAGGTCTATGGCCATGCAGTTTGATGCACATCGGTCCGAGCTGGAAGCAGCAGCGCGCACGCTCACTGCGGAAAACAGACAGCATGAACGCCGTTTCGCGGAATTGCGCTCGAGTATCGAAGAAAACCACAGTGAGATGATTGCCTTTTTAGGGTCTGAGTTTGAGGAAAAGCTTCAATGGGAAGAAAACGAGTACTACCATAGGCTAACCTCTGAGGCACAGCAGTACGATAGCTTGGTTGATGACCTGCAGGACAGGAACGCGGAGCTTATAGCTGAGGTCGACTCACTCAGGACTGTCTTGTCGACAGCGGAGAGTAGCCCACCGCAAGGTGGTGCCGTGCCGGTGAAAGTCGATCCCAGTGAGAGCTCCAAACTTCAACCAAGCCCACCGCAAGGTGGTGCCGCAGCGCCGCTTGTTCAGGGTCCTAGCCATTCATGGATTCCGACCCTTCCGAACCCCAGGGAGATTCCTGTGTCGCTTCGGACGGTTTTGGGAAGGACCCAACGGTATGACATTGGAGAGCCTGAGGATACCAAGGCCCACAATGTAGCGGTATCTGCTGCTGAACAGAGTGATAACAAAGAACCGGCAGAATCTACTGAAAACAAAGAACCTAGCGTACTTCTCGCTGAAGCACTCAAGTCGGTTATCCAGAAGCCTGATGATGACAAACCCAAGGCTAAGGAAGCTGAAACGGTGAAGCTACCCGACTTCCCTAACCCGGAGACTTATAGGAGCTGGAAGATCACAGTTAGGGAGGCCGTTCGGGCAGCATCGGACAGACCCGATGAGGCATTCAAATGGGTTCAAGAGGTTTACTCCAGGGACGCCGATGCGGAGAAGTTGAGGGACACGGGTAAATTCCTCACTTTGGACACGAAGATCCTTTCGGCGCTCTCGAGGGTTGCTAGGGGTGATCTTGGACGACAGATCATTAACTACAAGGAGTCTGAGGCAGCTGCTGGTAGGGCCGTTCGTGGTAGACAGGTTCTACTGATGTTCGAACACTACTTTAAGACCAACGAAGAAGCAGGCTCCCTCTACTCTGTAGAAGATCTTCTCAAGGTGCAGTTGAATGGTGATGACCTTAGCACTTTCATTCACAACTGGGAGTCGGTCATCGCGGGGTTGAATCACCAACCCGAGGAGACTACGCTGAGAGATATTCTACTTCGTCAGCTTCGCAATGCTAGCAAGCTCAAGTTTGATCTGGAGGTTTACGACAGGGCTAAGGAAGGAACAGAGCAACGCACTTATGACTACTTGGTCAAATGCGTGAAAGAGCTATTGGCTAGAGATAGGACTCGCAAAAACCGCACAGCAATCGCCAAAGCTCATGGCGCCAGATTTGGTGCCCCTGCTCCTTCCGATACCCCGAACACCCCTCGCGGCCGAAGCCAGGACAAGCCCTGCTACGCTTTCCAGCGTGGGAAGTGCCCACGAGGTGATAAGTGCCCATACAAGCATGTGAAGCCTACTCCTGAACAGACAAGGGGCAGAACACCTCCACGTACCCCTTCGAGAAAAGGTGGAGGTAAAGGCGGTAAAGGTGGGGAGAAGAAGGATACCTCCAAGATTCCTTGCATCTTTTACCCCAAAGGCACCTGCAAGAACGGTAAGAATTGCCCATTCATGCACAAGGATGCCGCTCCCTCTGTCCCGGCCAAAGGCGATAAGGCTGGCAAGGACGGGAAGAGATCGCCCTCCGGCAAGCGCAGGCGACCCAGTAAGAAAAGGCCAAAGAGTGAGGACAAGCCAGCCGCTTGCTGTCTTTCCCTCACAGCCACCCTCACGGGTGAGCCACCGGCCGATGCTGTGAAGGCCTACGCAGTAGCAGCCCGCAAGGGCCCTGCCGGAAAGCCCCGAAGCAGGAAAGTCCAGTTCCTAAGGCCAGAAATCATTGACATCCCGCCTGAGGGTGAAGGCTGGAGCTTCGTACCAGACAAGCACAAGTTCGAATTCAGGTACAAGTCTGCGGAGCTATGCCCACCATCTATTCCAGAGGACACCGAAGAAGCTTTGCAGAATGCCCGTCACTTGGAATCAGCAGTGAACGGGATGAAGCTTAAGGTTCGGGTCAAGTGTAACTACAGGTGTCGGGGTAGAGAAGGATTCTGCATTCATTGCAAAGAAGCAATTCCCCTGCCCCAACTTGCTGCAGCGGCGGTGACAGGTGAGAACCTCGAAATCATCGCAGACACCGGTAGCGAGGAAGATCTGATTAGTCACTCTGATTTGGAGGCCCATTTCAAGGGCAAGGCTAAGAAGGTTGCTTCCAACCCAGTGAGTTTGATCACTGCTAACGGACCAGTAGACGCTGATACCAAGCATGAAGTCTACATTGAGTCATTGAGGAACCCATTGCAGTTCGTTGAGCTCCCCAACACACCTGCAGTTTGCTCTGTAGGAAAGAAGTGCATGGAACAGGGGTTCTCTTTCCACTGGCCAGCGGGTGAGGCGCCATATTTCATTTGCCCAGACGGTCAGAAGATGATTTGCCAACTCCGAGGCAATGTCCCCGTATTTGGCGACCGAGGACCATTGATGGCATGCTTAGCAGCAAAGTCCTCAGAATCTGATGGCAGCAAGGTTGCACCGACCTCTGTCAAGTCTGGTTCGGGTTTTCGGTAAACAGCTGCCCGCAAGGGCACGCCGCACCAGCTAGGGGAGAGCACGAACATGAACCTGAAGGTCCAGCTGGCGCGGCAGAAGATCCCATCGAAAAGATGGCGAATTGCATTCCTCCCATTCCTGGGGTGGAAACGAGGCAACTGCTAAAGGCAGGTTGGACTGTCATCAACGGCAGCCCCGCTGCTAAGGTGGCACATTTCCCAAAGACGTTTCGAACACCGGCTCCTAAGTTCCCGAGGTATAGAATCCGGACTACTTGGGGATTCAAGGATGACGTGTGGTCTTTGTTGGAGGATTCAGTCAACATTGACGAATTGGACGGAATCTATGGGGAAGTACCTGAAGGGACTATTGCGACTATCACATTGTTTGCTTTGCCTGAAGGGGAAGTTGAGGCGCAAGCCGACAGCGATGTCGAGCCATACACAATGCCAAAGTCTAAGAAGGATGAAGCTTCCTTGAGGGCTGAGGCTGTGTCTTTGGAACATCGACTTACCCATAGACCAAAGAATCCGTTCTGCCCCATTTGCCAAAGGGCCAAGATGTATGCGCCCCAGGCGCGTAAATCTGGTGGATCCTCTACAATCTACAGTAAATCGTTCGGTGACCACATCACAGTAGATCACATCGTGACCGCTGATGCCAAGGATTACGGGTTCCAAGATGAAACCGTGGCTCATGTTGTGAAGGACGTGTATTCTAAGTTTAGATACGTGTACCCTTCCAAGACAAAGTCTGGTGAGCAGTGCTACGAAGACATGTTGCACTTCCTTGGTACAGATGATGAGGTAAAGGTTATATATTCCGACAATGCGTTGGAGTTTGACTTTGCGGCCAGACAGCTTCGCGCTCGTCACAACACTTCTAGAGAGTATGTGAACGAAAACAAGGCCGTAATCGAGCGAGAAATCAGAACAATTTTGGAAGGCACACGGGCCAATCTAGTGCAATCAGGACTTCCAGATCGCTATTGGCCTCTTGCATCGCAACATCATGCTATGTGTCTTAACATCACTGCGAGGATTGACAATGGTCAGATTCCGTGGGAAATCAGGTATGGTGAAAAGTTCAATGGCATGCGTATTCCCTTTGGAGCGAAAGTTCTCTATTGGGCCCCGAAGAAGCAACGCAAGCCTGAACGATCCAAGTTTGCTGGCACAGGGATTGAAGGTATATTCCTTGGGTACCACATCCAACCTGGTTTTATCTTCAAGCTTGAGTACGTTGTTGCTCCCCTACACAACATCGAAGCCGCGTTGGAAAACGAAGATCTACGTGTGTTTCGGACTAAGAGACTGGAGCTACCAGATGGTGACTTTAAGTTTCCTTTGTTGCAAGAGCCTGCCTTGGATAAACCACCAAGCCTTGATGCACAACATCACAATGTCCTTGATGAGCAAAACCCGCATCCTCCTCTGGAGGAAGGGGGGGGATACGATGAAGCCACAATTCAGGAACAACTTAGCGAAGACCTGGATGAAATGTTCCCAGAGCTATTTGGTCCTGATCGTGATAAAGATCCTCCGCCGAAGGACGCGAAAGAAGCCACCCGCAAGGGTGAGTCAAAGTCTGATTCCCGTGCAGCATTGCTTGATGATGTTCCGTTCTCTGTGAAGCAGAAGCTGAAGTCCAGCGCAGCAGTAGCAGCGCAAGAACCACCGTATGGTTATACGTGGAGTGGGGAATGTTTGGTCAAGAAGAACAACAAGAACCGCCCTAACGCTATTGATCATACTGCATGGAAGGCTATGTCGAAAAGACAAAGAGCAACAGCAATTGCAGAACATGAGAAGAAGCTACATGAGGAGAATGAGGCACTGTATCGTGAAGCTGTAAAGGCGGTACCTGCAATGCCAGTCCTACATGGGTGTAGCGAGGAACATCGGGAACGACTCAAAGGGCTATATGACAAGAAGCTTTTTCAGATCGCAGATGAGATGTATGCTGTTGTCGCCAAGGTCCTGTCGTCTAAGGAGATTGCAACAAACCCTAAGGCGCAGGCTGCCATGGACAAAGAATGGCAGAAATTGGTTGACAAGGGCTGCTGGGTACAAGGCAAAGTCAGGGAGTTCGAGTCGGTTGCCAACGAAGCTAAGAAATCTCAAACCAAGGTTCACTTTGGCAATGTTTTTGAGATTGGTACCCTAAAGGGAGCCGAGCTGAAAGAAGGCGACCCCAACCGTAAGTATAAGGGACGTTCGGTATTTCAGGGAAATAAAGTACTTGATGAAAACGCCGATCACGCGCTCTTTGCGGAGATGTCGAGCAGTCCTGCATCTATGGAAGCAGGAAAGATTCTTGACGTCTTTGGCTCACAACCTGGCTACATCATCCAGCAGGCCGACGCCAAGCAAGCATACACCCAAGCTTTGTTCCAAGGGGTTGCCACTTGGGTACGGTTGCCTCGCAATCGCTGGCCTAAGGCATGGCAGGGCATGAAAGATCCTGTTGTTCCACTCAAGTTGGCACTTTACGGACACCCCGATTCAGGGGGGATTTGGGAACATCATTGCGAAGCTGAGTTGAAGAAAGTCGGGTTCGAGGCAGTATTGACTGACCGGTAACTAGACGTGCCAAGCTGGTAGCCTGGGAAACTTCAGGTTATCAGCCGTATTTGGAAGAGTGTATTCTACCACCCGAAGAAGAAGCTGCTTTTAGTGGTATACGTCGATGACTTTAAACTCGCTGGCCCTAAGAACTCTATCAAGGAGGGATGGGACTTGATCTCGAGCGTCATTGATATGGATCTTCCGGAAGCCATTGGTAGATACTTTGGGTGCATGCACAAGGAAGAACACAACCTCAAGCTGCCCAAGGAAGCACACCCTTTTCGTCACGTGTTTGAGCCCGAATCATCAGCTGCAACTCCTGCTAGAAAAGAAGACTATTGGGACATTGACCCCGAGAATCTCATAGCAATCCGACATCACCGTTACCCTCGCAAAAGACTTTATGTCCCCAACGAGGATGATGCTAGAATGTTCCCGGGGATCGGCCCTCGGAGATACACTGTGGTGGCTAAAGCCACCCGCAAGGGTGAGTCGGAGGAAGTTGTTGTTGACAGTTGCAATCAAATGCGCGATCGCTGTCTTCAGGATTGGTGGGACGGCGAAACCTACTTCGACCTCGCAGGCCGGGAACAGTCTAATTTCGAGCTGGCAGTTGCAGCTGCCCGCAAGGGCAAGCCGGTTCGTAACAAGTCTGAGGCTAAAAAGGAGGCGAAGCAGAGCAAGTTTGTTACATTGTCGCAAGACGTTAAAGAGAAGCCCGGCGCAATGACCAAGCCAGTCACTCGCATCACGTACGATATGAAGGACTTTCTCGACTCTTGCGTTGATCGGTACTGCGAGCTTGCTAAGGTAGAGCGTAAGACCCTGAAACCAGCTGCAACCCCCTTCCATGAGCTACGTGTGGCTTTGCCAACAGCTTCCGAAGGAGAGAAGGCAGGGCGCTTGCAACCTATTGCTAGTAAGGTACTAATGAAGATTTTGTTCGCTGCTCGCATGGCCAGATGGGACCTTCTAAGGGCAACACAGTCTTTAGCGTCGAGGGTGACCAAGTGGAGTCCAGATTGCGACTTGGGACTTCACAGGTTGGTTTGCTACATAAACTCTTCGCTTGATGTCACTATGAGCTTTTTCATAGGCGACAGCATAATGGATTGCAGACTGTGGTTGTTCAGCGATTCCGACTTTGCGGGCGAATTCGATTCAAAATCGACTACAGGATGTGCGATGTTTTTGGTTGGACCGAACACGTACTTTCCCCTCAATGCCTTCAGCAAGAAACAAACATCTATTACAATGAGCTCTACTGAGTCCGAAGTTGTAGCAGCGAATCACGGTTTACGTGCCGAAGGTCTACCTTGCCTGAGCTTGTGGTATTTCCTATGGCGTGGAGATGCCGGCCGCAAGGCCGAGCCAAGGGCTGAGAGGGTGGATTCGATAGTTGCACGCATTGACCCTGAACTTGACGAAATTCGTTATGGGTCCACTAGACCGGATGGGTTGTCAATCGCAGACATCAACGGCCTCTGTGTCCAGCTTCCTGAAAGTTTCGAGGTTAGACATGTGGAGGATAACCAGGCGACAATGGCTCTTTTGTTGCTAGGGCAAGCTGGTGTTCTACGACATACTGATCGGACACAGAGGGTGAGTTTCTCATGGCTAAAGCAGCAATATGAGGTTGGGCATTTCAAGTTACTGAATGTTGGTACAGCCGAACAAGTGGCGGATGTGTTCACGAAGCCTTTCACTGAAAAGAACAAGTGGACGCATGCCTTGAAGCTTATTGGACATACAACCAGCGCGAACGTAGCCGGGTGCAAACCCGAGTCGAAGGTCGAGGTTGACAACAAGGTTTCGGTAGCAGCAGCTCCGGAAGCATCAAAGGTTGTCGAGGACTTCGCTCAACAATCGTTCGAGGCTAACGATTACAGCTTCAAGACCTTCGAAAAGCTAGCTGGGCTTATTCGTACCAATCTCAAGGCATCATTGGCAAAACCGCGAGCATTGATGGCTTCTGAGAACCTATCCAAATACTTGGTGTTCGGCGCTTGGGTCCATGGTGGGTGCTTTGGTATTACCAACCGCACAAAACATTATCCATGGATTTGCAGGTATGTGAATGGATTTGTTAAGCAATCATCTCCGAAAGGGTTTACATGGACTTCGTTCGTGTTCAACTTCAATGGCAAGGCCCGCATCCACACGGATAAGTACAATCAGAAAGAATCGTACAACCTGACGTTCTCCTTCGGTAACTATACAGGGGGGACACTGTGGATTGAGGGCGCGAGCCAGTTGGGACCACCGGGAATATACACAGATGATCATGGCAAAGACCACAAAGGCTACAATTGCAACACATACCGCAAGCCCACTCTGTTGCATCCATCGACAAAACATGGTGTACAACCCTACACTGGCGAACGACCTTCCTTCATCGCCTACTCTTCAGGGGGGTACCAGAAGTTCAACAAAAAGCAAAAACAATTCCTACATCAAGCGCAGTTCCTCTTGCCCACTGCTCAGTTGAAGCTCCCAGCTCAGAATGCAATGGTTTGTTTGAGGTGTGTTGGTTCCCCTCTCGATGAGGGGGGTAGGCTTAACAAACCGTGTTCTCGTTTCGAAAATGATTCGTTTGCACACACATCGCTCGAGTGCACAAACACACAACAAACTGCAAGCCTTGACCATGAAATCTTGGCTTTCTTTATGTGCACGCCTGCCATTGCAATTTCAGCTGGTTCTGATCTTCTCGACTTGCCCGAAGCGACTTCTACGATCCCCAAGATGGCAGCCATCGTTGTGAGCGACGAGTTCTGCAGGGTCAACACCTCCGAAGCAGACAGGAATGGGGTTACCAAGGCCATGAAAACCATTCTCCAATCCGCCGCCCTCAACAACGATATCATTTCGCTCGGCGCCGATCATGAGAGCCAGCTCTTGGAGTCGGCGTACAGCTGCGTATCCACACAATGCGCGGCTGGGGTATCCTTGACCCATGCCGACGCAACCACTGTGGCTCTGCGCCAGATGGCTGACCTCAGTGACGAGGGACTCGCCAAGTTGAAGCCAACCGCAAGGTTGAGCCCCAAGGCCAAGCGAGCCATCATAGTCGTGTCAGACAGCTCCACTGCACTTTGCAAGAAGAACAGGCGGGGAGTGTTCGTTAAGGCCGACTTGGATGCGGAAGTGAACATCGCAAGCTTTACGCTGGGATGGGCACAGACTCGCTATACCATGTGTTGGGGTAAAACCTTGGCGTGGATTGTCTGGCAGGTCGAGGAGCATGTGAAGGAGCTCAGGAGCAACTATCCGGACCACACCATCGACATAATCTGCTGGTGGTGCGGGAACGAGATCTCCGGCCAGTGGGGCTGCATCCCCACGCGGCTAGGACCGGGACTCGCCTACAGAGATCCCAATGTCACAACGGAGACCGTCGCACGGAAAGTGAGAAGGGCAGCGGATGTTTTAGCCGCCCTCGCGGGCGAGCCGGACATTGGTTTTGTGAAGGTGATTGGGCAGGTGGAGGCGGACTTGTTCCAACTCCACTCAGCCTACAACGACTTCAATGCCGCTATGTTCGAAGAGTTCAGGCAGCGCGGTCTGCAAGTGCAAACCGCAAGCTCCTTGGTCGAAAAGCTGGAAATGTATGACAGCTTTCACGCCAGCGAAGACCCTCGCAACCGCGAGTTATTCCAGACCTACTTGCATGCGACTATCAATGCAAGCAGGAGCGAATGGCTTGCCCAGAAGATGGCACCCTGTGTCAGGGCTTTGCTTGTTCGCTATGAGCACTTTGAGACTGGCTCCGATGCCAACAATCCAGTGCTCGAGGATGTCTTCAAGCAGTGGCGTGCAGAGAAGGACCAGCTGATGAACCCGAAACAGGCCAAGCCAATGCCGGTCACCCAGGAGGACAAGATGTGGGAAGCCCCAGATGCCGCTGACGCAATCGACGTCAATAAGATCTCCGAGGGGCCACCCATGGATAAAGCCATCCGCAAGGATGTGCCAAGGATCGGTGCAACCACGGACGTTAGTGCTGTGGCGGAATGCGTCAATGACATCGTCACCCAGGACGCAGACGGCAAGGTGTCCTACAACACCCCGGGCACGGTGGAGCTGGTGGACGAGGGCGACCAGGTCGACCCTATCCCCTCATCGATTGGACGTGTTGTTGAGCCAGCGCCTCCGAAGAAGACTAAGAAGTCTGATCGAGACGAGGATGCCATGCGTAGGCTCATGTTCATCGATGAAAGCGCCCCGCAAGGGGCTGCCACTGTGCCAGAGCTTCCAAATGAGTACTTCTACAATGGCAAGAAGCACTTGATGAAGCCCTTCAACCCGGAGGACATTGTAGGAGACAGGCACGTGACATTCAAACACGGAGACCTGAAGTTTCTCACCAAGCTGCTGCGTGGCCATGAAATGGACGACTTCCCTGCATTGATCTTTGACCGTGGGTGCTGGACAGACGTTGACACTCTGCTCCAGGTCTTCAACACGGCACGGGGCGCACGCTGGGGTGTGAGGCAGCTGCTACGCGCAGCGAAAGCCGATAATAAGGGACGGATCAGACTTTTGGGCATTGACGTCCCAATGAAGGACACCCTGGGTCAACCGCTATTCCCTGTCAGAGTGAGGATGGCCCAAGGGCATAACTCCAAGCTCATCGGCAATAACCCGGACGCGGACTTCTTCCTTGCGACCAGGTTCTACAGCGGATTGTCCGAGTACGAGGCCGACCTGCAGAGCAGCGTCAGGGGGGTCACTGTGCTCTCCCGCGAGGATACCCCCCCAAAGCTCTTCCACCGCACGAATGAAAAGGGAATGAAGGGTATCCTCCGCGATGGAATGATCGCCGGCTCCACGAGGTCAGACAGGTCCCACAACTACCTGTCCCCGTACAAGTTGGACGACACCCACTACAAGAGTGGAATGCGCTCCAACCAGCCGATCGAGCTGACGATAGACACGCAGCGAGCAATCGCCGCTGGATGCGTTTTCTTCGTCACGGAGACCGACGGCGTCCTCACACGGGACAATGTGCCTCCCGATTGCGTGCTGTCCGCCATCGACACCAGCAAAAAGAACCTCCCGCTCTACGTCGCCGAGCACAAAGAAGCCGCCCGCGAGGGTGAGCCAGAGCGCATTTTCCGCGCAAAGCGCGACTATGAGGAGGCCGCAGCAGCAAGTTCATCATCGGCACCGCCCCCAAAACAGGCGGCTATCGCTCCCAAAGCGATTGCTTCAAAGAAGATGCCGAAGGTGGTTCCCAAGCCCGCCGCAATCGCCGAAAAGGACGAAAGCATGGACTTGGATGAAGCCACCCGCGAGGGTGAGCCTGCTGATGCTGCTGGTGCATTCGACCTTGACGAAACTAAGGTTGAGGTTGAGGTCGAAGTCGATGAAGGCGATACAACGGATGCGGGTGAGGATGAGCCGTACCCACTTGGCTCTCACCCATGCCGCGAGTGCGCAGCAGTCGTTGCCAATGGCATGCTGTTCTGCCTCCGTTGCAAGGCTCCCCAGACGGATGACTCCAAGAAAATCACAAAGCGAGTCTTTGAGAATTCGAGACTCCGCCAGCGCCTTCTTGCCACCGCTGCGACTGGAGCCCAGAAGCCCATCGATGATCTCCTCGCGAGTGACCTTCGAGGCCTGGGCGAGGGACCAAAGAAACGTGGTCAGATGAGCGCGGAGGCCGCCGCCATTCGTGACGCCAAAGACCGAAAGATCAGGGCCGCCAAGTTGAACTTTGACACCGTGTCCGACCGTTTCGAGAAGGACGCGCAGTTCAACGTGAGAATGATGCAAGAGGGCCGCAGCCTTGAGGACATGCAGAAATTCGACCACCTGTCGAACGCTGTGCTTCCCGATCCAGGACGCAGTGAGGAGCAGCGCTACTTGCGTGCTGGCTCCCATTATGGTGGTGGCAATGTCCCGCCTGCGAAGCTGGTCTATTATGCCCACTGCGAAGTGGAGCCGTTGAGGAACTTGCGGTTTATCGATGATACCGCGGATGTCCCCATCGGCTTGACCTACCTCGGTGCATTCCTCCCTCCGCGACTCTATGCTGAGGTGGCAGCAGTGAACGATGCTGCAAAAAGGATCCTGACTTTCGACGGCGAAGTCTATGTGTCGGCTACCACAATTGAAGGCATCACAACTGAGATCGGACAGATTCTTACCGATAGCCTCCGTAGTGCTCAGGACCAGACAGACCAAACGGAACGTCTGGCAGAGCGCAATCGCCAGGCTGCAGTCCAGAACCGCCCATCCCAAAAGGGACGTGGTCGCACGACAGCACCTGAGCCCATGTACAGAGGCTATACTCAGGCCCAGTGGGACGAGTACTATCGCCAGCGTCGTGGAGGTTACACTCAGGCCGAGTGGGATGCATGGAACCGCACCCATAGGCGCTGAGTCCTCATTCTGATTTGCTTCGGACCTGCAGGGCTTCCCCGTTGTGCTTTATAAATGCTCGCTTTGGCAAATTCCCAAATCCGTTGAAGCCCAGGGCAACCTGGAGCCATGTACTATCCGCCTTAGCTCGAGCAGCACGGCGAGGGGGGTGTAGATTTTACCCTGCCTCCATTGCTATTCCTATGGTCCTTAGCTATGTCTTTACGCGACCGCACTTGGCCCAAGTCCCCCGTGGAAAAAGGTCACAAGGGTTGACTGACCGGTAACTAGACGTGCCAAGCTGGTAGCCTGGGAAACTTCAATTTCTCCGAATCATTGAAACGTCAGGTCGCATGTTGTGCTGCAAGCCATCTCTGGCCCGGGCCCGCTGTGGACATTTCTCCTGTCCAGAGCCACTGTGTGCGGCCGCGGAAGAAAAGGACGTATTGTGTGCCGTCGCTAGTTGCATGTGGAACTCCGTGCCGTAATGCGGATGTCTGCTCGTAGCTGTAGCTGCTGCTAGGAAATGGAAATGCTGAGTGTCGTATGCAAGATTCCTTCGCTGCCGTATGGCCCGCCAAGAACACATCATCATGGTCAGCGCAGATGTCTTGTGTCCATCTGATTCATGGTCACCGATGCAGCCGTGCATGGGGACTGTGTTTATAATTGACGCGAGGGCCCAGTGATGCCCAGTCCCTCTGAAATTGCTCCAACTGCATTCTGATGTGTTGCCTCCCATGTTGTAAGTCTGCATAGCACGAAGCCCAAAGCGCAAACACCGCTCCGCAGCTCTAGATGTTCCCAGAGCCTCGCACCAGCAGCCATCTCACACCAACATGAGTGCAACACAGTACATCTTCCTTGCAGAGCGCCACACTTGGATTGATTAGTAAGCGCTGAAGCTCGATGAACATGCTAGCACTGGCCACGATGGATGATGGGTGCACCAAGGCTGGCTGTTTCGGTGTGCGTGTGTGCGCATGTGTGTGTGTGTGTGTACGTGTGTGTGTGTGTGTGTGTGTGTGTGTGTGTGTGTGCGGGCGTGTGTGTGTGTGTGTGTGTGCGCGCAGCCTTGTTTGAGTTTCTGGCATCTTGGAACTCCAGTGCAGCACTGAAGCTGTAGCAGCTTGGAGTATGCAGAGAACGTGCTTCGATGCAACGAGGCTGCCGGTAGACAACGGCGCGGTGATGCCACCATGGACCTACTGCGGCAAAGGATGCTAGAAGCTGTCTTGGGTTAAGTGTCAAGAACACGGCGCAGAAACCTTGAGGCCACGGTTCGGCCGGGAGCAGGCAGTCTTGGGGCAGGTGCGCGAAAGTAATTCGCTCCCCATTCCAACCTCTATGAATGCTAGGACTTCCAGGGTCATCAGGCTCGTGTGCCGTGTGCAGGGCACATGCTTCCACATGAAGTCTGGCTGCTGCCCCGCCGCGTCAGTTTCTGAAGTTGTTTTGTTCCAAGACCTGCCGTAAGTGCATGAGTAGCTGAGCCACGCGACGCACCGCGGCCTTGCAAGGACGAGGCTTCGACTCGCAACATGGCCGTTCAAGCGGGATTTGGGTCGACTTTTGTAACAATGGCTTTCGTCTGTGATTGCCACAAGGGTACTGGATGTTACTGGGGTGTTGCCAGCAGAGGAAGGTGGCCATGCAAGTCTTCTGCAGCTACATGTGGAGCGTTCTGGTCAGCGGAAAACGGTTCGCTTCTCCAGATCCTAGAGTCCCGAGCGACGACAACCGAGCAAATTCGGCTCGAGCTGCGAGTCATGCGCTTTGGAAAACTACCATGTGGGTATTTCTCCAAATTGAGGTCCCCCTTGCGTGGGCTAGGAAAGGATGCATGCTCAGTGTTTTGAAATACTTGCGAATTTAATGGTGTGTCAAGACATGTCGTCCTGTCCTGCAAAGAGATGCCAATCAAGCTGCAGTAACGACTGGGGCTCAACGCACGCAGCATTTTAGCAAAGGATGCGGAAGGTTAGTCGAAATCCATATTCCTCGACCTGCTGCTGCTAGCATATCTTGTGCGCCCCGGGCTAGGAAACGATGTGTGCACAAAGCTCTGGAGTGCAAATTTGATGGTGGCCGGGTCCTGATGTCAAGGCATGTCTGACAAAGGTAACTCGGAGGTGCCAGGCTGCAAACAAGCGACAGGGTCTCAACACGAGGCAGGAGGTTCTTGTGCTTAGCTCCCAAAGCTCCAGGCCTTCAGAAGTCAAACAAGCTTGAAAGCAACCCCGCAACAGCGTCCATCGAGCCCTCCGACAGCGTGCCATTACACGTCGCAAGCCTTGAATTGATTTCCTCGTGATGGTCCAACCGCTGGATTTTCCCGTCGCCAGGGTAAAGATACGTGGCAGCTAGTTCGTTGGCACTGGTGCTGTCTGGACAGCTAATCAGTCATCTGCGGGCTTGTCCCTGCGGCCACGTCACGCCTAGTTTCCGTTGCAACATGTGTGCGCAGCGCTTGCGTCAGCAGTGTTGCATCGTCCGTCGTGTCCCACAGCCTAGGTGAATGGAGCGCGCATGTAATTGAAGTATCAAGGAACGGCCACCCATCCAGAACGCAGGGCTCGAATGGGCCCTGTGCAGAGACGCCAACTGCACCCACAACTGCATTTTGCTGCTATTGCCGTTCAGAGAATTTGCACCGGACGTACAACGTGTCGAGTCGCTATCCCAAGAAGATGGAGCCGTGCTATAAGCGTCGGGGGCATGCTTGGTGCAAGCTTCGATAAGCGCAAGTTCAGACCGTGCTGGTATGTTGGTAGGCTGTTTTCAGCTCTTTTCATGCGGCATTATTCGGACACCTCCCATGCAAACATCGGCTGTTTTCTCAAAAGCAACCTGCCTTGCTCAAACTGTTGGAGAAGTGCTGGTCTTTGCTTGGAGCTTTGCTAGGCTATGCCGGCACTTTCGGAGCCCTTGGCATGTTCTTTGTGGCCCATCTCTTCGTGAATTGACAGAGCAGAGCCTTGGACAGATGTTGTCTGTCTCCCTTTCCTTCGCCTCCTGCCGGTGCAAGCATGCCATAGCTCGTCATGCCCTAAGTTGTCGTTTGCGCAGCAAGCCACTGAGCGCTGAACCAACAAATACAGATGACGTGTGCTAATACATGTGCGCGCTGCGGGACAAGCAGGAGCCATTACCAGACAGCTTCACCAGGGCAGGATAGGTTCATGGGCATGAAAGCACATGTGGTGCTGTTGCAGCAACTCCTTGCTTAAGTGGATGTTTGAGATTGAAGAGTTGCTGCAATGCTGACCGGCCTTTTGCCCTAAGAAATCGACCCGGGCAGGCGATGAATGCATTGCAGGCATGAGGGTCGTACCTGACATGTTTGCAGTTGCTGGTCACGTAACACAAGTTCCATGCTCTGATCAGTCAAATGTTGAGCCCAGAGGCACTTGGCCAAGGGAAGGAAGAGCAAAAGCCTTCCTCTAGGCCTTAATGGATAAGTGCACTGAAAATTGCAAAAGGTCCTTTTCTCCCGTCAGATCGGGCAAGAGAGTGCACTGTTGCATGAAGGCGGTGGGGATCAGCTGTCTGCCTTTTTCCCTGCCGGTCTGGTATAGCGCGCTTCAACCCACTGCAGTGCAGCCTGAAGAATCCCAAGCTGCAAGGAACGTTCGATGTGTATGCAGAGGATGGCGGTGGTTGTGGGTCCCGTGACAGCAGAGCAACCACACGGATGTGTTGGCAGCTTAATGCTATTAGGCAGCACTTTTCTGCACACCCCAGCGTCGCTTCGCTCCTTGGCCTTCTGCTTTTGCAGCAACTCCTTGCTTAATTGGATGCTTGCGATTGAGGAGTTGCCACGGTGCTCACGGAAACAGTTGCGCTCAAGGGCCCCGCTTTCTCTCGCCTAAGCCCGCAGCCTCTGAGGCAGGTCGCCGAATGCATCCCAAGCACGCCAGGAGGCGCAGCAAAGCACGCTTGCAGGCCGTTGCAGCAGGAATGCGTTTCCGGTGTCGTAGCACGTTTCAAGCCACCATGATTATGTAATTATGTAGTGCCCAAGCCTTTCAGGCTGCAAGGACAGTTCGATATGTATGCTGGTGGTTGCGAGCTTGCAGACAATGACATATGAGCCCGGCCCCCTGACTGCAGAGCAACTGAGCAACTACACTGAGATGTTTGAAGCTAGTGCTGTCAGGCCACACTTTTCAATTCTCGCGGAAACATTCGCGCTCAAGGGCACCCGGTTTGTTGCGCCCAAGCCCCTAGCCACATCATGTCTTCGAATGCATCGCAAGCACGAGAGGAGTCGCAGCAAAGCGTGCTTGCAGGCTGTTGCAGCAGGAAAGGAGGGTGGATCATATTCCCCGTTTTGCGTTTCCGGTGACGTAGCGTGTTTCGAGCCACCATGATTATGTAGTTTCCAAGCTTCCTAGGCTGCAAGGACCGTTCGATAGTGGTTTCGAGCTTACAGACAATGACATATGAGCCCGGCCCCCTGACAGCAGCGCAACCGCACGGATGTATTGGAAGCTAGTGCTGTCAGACGACACTTGTCAATGCTCACGGAAACAGGAAACAGCCGCGCTCGCACCTTGTTTGCATCGCCTAAGCCCTCGACGGCGCTCAGCAAGGCACCGAATTCATCGCAGGGATGAAGGAAGTCGCAGCAATCTCGTCAAAACTATACTGCATGGTCTCCTTTGTATCATCCGACACTGCATTGGTCCCACGACAGGGTCTTGCCTTGGACTTGCAGCCATGCAAACAGCACAAGACGCCATCCCGACTGCAAAGAGCGCTCCGATGGTAACTGCCCAGCACCTTCGAGGCGGCGAGACGTGGATGAGGTTTGGCACTTGCACTTTGTCCCATGCCAATAGCTGCTGCTTCTGTTAAAGTCAAAGTACCTTGCACATCATAAGAACTCAACCCCTTTTCTTTCTGTGCGCAGCACAACTGTATTGCGGAATCTAAGCAGGAAATGACTATGGTGTCCTCTCTTTCTGAAAGTTATATTAAACGAACAGTGCCAAAGCAGTCATGAAGGTCGGGGACTG